TTTTTTCCCAATCTAATCCGATATCGATACCTGGGCTGATCATACTGGCCGATACCCGATGCCGATCTGATGCTATTGCTCGATGAATGAACAATTTACCCTGCCATGTGAGAGAAGAAGTCAGGCTTGTTGTAAACATTGGTTAAAGACAAAAGGATAATAAATTACTACAATTTTAATCATCACTAGAAGCTATGCATGCTATGTGTGATAATGAACCAGCGTGCCAAACATTGATGTGTATGATTTGAATAAAAAGAAAAGCAATGCCTAGATGGGAATGTTTAATCGATGTTGTTCATCTGATCTCCGATCCAGCTAATTAGTCACTATCAGAGCTGATATACAATTCAGATATGGTTTTGGTGCACATGCAGTAAATCACATAAACAACGTTCATCTATTTGGGTTTTTTTCCTTGTGTTTTTTTTTTGCCTTGTCATCAAAATTCCCTTGTTGAAGTCAGGGAAACCCTAATTGTCCCTGAAAACGCTGGCATTTATATTACACCGACAGACCTGTGACCTCTGACCCCTGGCTGGAAGCTTGCAGAGTGACTTGCAAACCAGACGGCCACAAATAAAAGCAGATAACCACGCTCTTCCCTTTCTTCTTGGCCACATGTGCTGAGACACTTCCACGGCGCGGCCATAACACAGCCACAGATCACAGGGCGCCGCACTGTTCTCTTCACAATTGATTACAGCCGAACCACATTATTGTTGTTCTTCTCCGACTAGAAAGGAGACAAAACTCCTGGCAACTAACAGATGGTGAAAAGGTTGTTAAAAAATAAATAAACTCAAAGAGTGAAGCACATTTATGTCATTTCCTTTTAATGTAGAAAAGAAAATTTGTAGTCTAAAGGTTTTGATGAAGGATGCACCAGTCAGGTTTTCCTTTGTTAAAACTGATTTCTGAATATCTTAAGGGTCTAATCAGATTTTCAGCAATTCTGAAACTTTAAGCAAAGAATAGGAGCTATTTAAATAATCAAACCTTTTTTCGTGAGTATGTCTTTGAAGATAATTATTTTCCTTCCCAGGTTGAAAATCTGTATATTAATATCCTTGAATTGTAATGAAACATGTTATGTAAAAATCTCAAGGAACAAACATTAAACATAACTGTTGATAAAAAGCTTTTGTTCAGACCAGCAGTACCTCCATTTCACAGCATCAGGAAACAAAAGCTTGTTTCAATAACTTAACTCCAAGCACTCGGCTTCAACATAGCATTTCTAAGTTGTAGCTTGTTATTAATAACAGAATAGAAAGGAAGGAGCTTTTTTATTTAAACAATTGCAATCAAGCTAAATTAACATTGATTTTGCTGTATTAGAACAAAAGTATTGCCATGTTTTTATTTTCACCAATAATATGAACGTGTCTTTTCTTATTCCCCGCAGTATGGAGGATATATGATTTTCTATGTGTAGATATCCTGCTCCATATAGAAGTATCACTGCTACTTAAAGATAGTAAAATATATAGAGAGAAATATACAGAAACACATTCACTCGTGACCATTTCATTTTTAGGTTTGTTTTTTCATGATAGTTGTTAATGTGTTTATAATTAGAGCTGAAACAACTAATCAGATGAGTCTTGATTAATTGATTATTTTAATAATTGTCAACTAATTTAGCAATCGATTAATCTTTAACTGGAGTGAAGAGACTGTAAAATATGGCTTTAGCTGCAACTGCGACCCACTTAGAGCAGTAATTATATAAAAATTGCAAAAAATATTTTGCATTTCAGATGAAAAAAAAACTTTTCGTCTGTCAATGTGCTCTATCCAGAACTCAAGAGGAAATGTTTTAGTTTCACCTGGTTTAATTTAGTAAGAAATGTTCTTTTGTTCTCCGATTATTAATCGAAAAGCATGCATGCATTGGCCGATATTTGGACTCATTAGTGCACTCAGCAGCCATGCCTTAAAAGCAGGTGTTATGGTGTCCCTTCATATGCTGTCTATTGTTGCTTAGCTTGATTTGTTATTAAATGTTTTACCTTTTAAAGCTTTTACTTAAATTGAGATTTGTCTAACTTTTTTTTTTTTTATTTAAAAGAATAAAAAGTAACATCTGCTTCGAGAATCGACCCAAAAATGTTGGATCGGCAGCACATATCAGGGATCGTCTAGACTAATGTCAAAAAGTTCAATTCTATAAATAATCAGCAACCATCTTAAAAACTTAGCTTGTTATTTGGTTGCTTGATGTCTATGTGCACTATTTAGGGGAGTTTTGGTTGATCCCGATTCTCATGTGATTGATTTGCGCATCTGGAGTATTTAGATCTAAAACTGAACAAATCAATTTCTGGACCTTATATATTATTTTTTTTAGATAAAGTAGGGAGGTTTAAGCCCTCTTCTACATATACCACCATTTAACTCCATTTGAAGAACTCATAGCCAACTCATCCTGTTAAGTAACTTGGATTAACATTCCTCCCTGTCTCCAAGCAAGAGAAATAGGCCAGAAGATACAGAAAGAGACGGGAAAGAGAAAGGCGATCGCATAAAAGCTTTAGGTCCAAAGCAGCATATGCTGCACAGTGTCATCGTAAATATCAGCCCCAAGCATTTAGGGGAGGACAGAGGTAATCCAAACAAACCCAGAAAATCTTCCGGAGATAATTCATAACTACCTATCTGGAACGGGAGGGCCGTTAAATACTTACAGCACACTCAAAAAGGCCAGGACACAAAAACTTAAAATGCCTTCCCCGAGCAGCTTCATAAACAGCCCATATCTGATCCAAACTGAAATCAATCATACTTCTATTAGTCAAGCAGTTCCATATATACATACAACATGAGGCCATCTGCCAGCTTTTCCTTTAGGGTCTCACACAAACACACAGCGCTGTGTGAAGGCAGAGAGGGTGAGAAAAGCAGTAAAACTTAAGACTGACAAGACAAACGTAGCCTTTAGTCCTAAATAGGGGTTCCCCACAAATCAGGGAATTATTCTGTCTCGCAAGTCAAAAGCTGGAGTACGTTTTTAAAAGTCATCTTATTGCCTCAACAGCCTTTAGAGACAACCGAACCCTATTAACAGAGGCCCTAAAGATAAAAAGTTTTGAGAAATATTACAAACCCCTGCAACCTACAGCACATGTGATCAGGTTAAAAAACTCAAAAACTAATGTGTTTCACTGGAGTTCACAAAGCAACACATTATTGTTTAGTGGAAGAAAAACTATATAAATGATTTTAATTAAAAACAGAAAAAAATAAGTAAAGTGAAGCTTAACTTACATCTGTCCTCTTTTACTTTTAACTCACAACATCCAGAAATCTTATTAGTGAACAGAGTCCATGTGTGTGATTCAATATTCATACAAATTGAGCTGATCTAAGAAGGCCTCTGATGTCAGAGAGCATTAGCAAACACACAGCATAGTAAAGACAGAGGGAAACAGAAGTTTAACACTAAATTAGATTATCCAAAAACGTAGAAAATTGTTAAACACATTAAAGCAGCGATCTTCAACCTGTGGCCCTGCAGCCGCAAGTGGCTCTTAGGGCCCACTGCCTTTACCTTAATAGTGGCTGAAAATGATACATACTGACGGTTTCGAATACAGTTTGATAGCAAATAACAATCTAAGAAGCCTTAGTAGGTTATTATAAAAAACATTTTAATCAAATTTTCAACAAAATGACACGAAAAGAATCAGAAATATGTTATTAAATCTGTACGTTTGTCATTAGCTTGTTAATTGGGTTTTTTTGTTCTTTATTTTACATTTCTAGCTAATCAAATGCCATCCTACTAAAGAAAATATATGCTTCATTTTTATAAGACTTTTTATGGCCCACTTTGTTTAAAATCTAAAAACAGAAATAAACTGCTGGCTGTTTAACACAGCAACAGATCTCTTACAACAGATTTTTTTTTTATTATTAAGAAGTTTTAAACCACTGCATTAAAGACCGTTAAATAGTTAAAAGATTGGCAAGAAGATGTCCCCTATGCAATTTCAACCAGGGGGCACAACAAAACCAAAACTTTTCCTATCTACATGTAAAACACCAACAAAGCAAAAATGCATCCCTGTTGTGAAAGCAGGAGGTGGCAGGATGATGCTGTGGGGAGCTTTGTGTGGCAGCAGTTATTAGGAGGGCAACAACCCTAAACACACAGCAGACACCTAAATACAACTGAGAATCTGAGGTCAAAATGGATATTAAGACTTCCTATCTAATCTGATTGGGCTTTTGGTGCTTTGTGAGGATATAAAAAAAGCATTTCTCCTAACCTTAAAGACTTGCAGCTATAAATGTGACAAATGTTGGTTCTAAAAAGCACTGATTCAAAGGGGACTGGATGCAAAAGCATCAATCTACCCAAACTTTTAAGTTCTGGATACATTGGAAACTAGGAGTATTTTTTCTTTCCACCTCATAAGCACAGACTCTTAAGAGGAAATCTTAATAAAACTCGTTTCAGAGGAATGGATACTTGCATGGCACAGATCTGCATCAGGAGTCAACAGCTGGGGTATTTTATAAAACCTTCACTTATTGCCTCAACAGCCATTAGTGTTATTAACCAAAGGCAAAGGAAAGGGGAGATAAGCCCTCGTGCATCCTTATCTTTAAATAATCTGCATTTCCAGAGAATGGAAGGGCGCACAATGCGCTGCCAAGGGCCAAGGTAAGGGCCCCCCTCATGCCTATCAATGGGGTGAAGCCTCTCCCCGTGCCGAGGCTTCAGAATCACAAAAGGGCTTCAGTCTGAAAACCAAAGATCGTTTGCATGAGAGAAGAAGCTAAGTGATGGCAAACAGATCAGCTTCATCTACATGGGACTCAGATGATCTCTTCAGTGGAAACAAAGAGAAAAAAGTCTCAAAAACCAAACATGGTTGTAAAAGAATTTAAAAGCAACTTAGTTATAATTGTTTTGCACATAGATGAATGAAGGTTAACCGCATGGAACATGGCCAGCAGGAGGAATGGAGGAGAAAGCTGCTCAAACTTACCAGACGCGCTGAGCGCCAGGACGCACTGGAGCAGCAGAGAGACGCAGAGAGCGCAGGCTGGACATCTCCACTGCCGCACCGCTGCCCGGTTACGATACATTCCTTCGGCTCTGTCTCACACCCTGGTCCGCGTTTCACATCCAAATCCGAGCAATATCTCACCCTGACACTCTTTCCACCACAAAACGAGTCTCCAAATTCAGCGCGCAGGCTTCAGAGTTTGCTGTCCGTGTTTTTCCTTCCAAAAGGCGCACCGAAAGTATCTGGATAAAAAGACAGAAGCGGAAACTTTCCTCTTTCCTTCTTCTCTCTCCGGACTCCCAATTGTGTGTGTGTGTGTCTCTCTATCCCAATGAGCGCAAACTCTTCCCAACAAACTTCAGCAATCAGAGTTTTGCCCAAAGGAACCGCATGGTTGTGTTTAGACACGTGTCGCCACCGTGTGTTCACTATAGGAACTACAACTGAACAACCGAGGGCTACTTCTTTACAAGCCCTTATCTTTTTATTTTATTTTTTATGTTATTTTAAAGTACTTGCAATTTTCATGTTTAACAAAAATAATAATAATAATATTTTAGGTATAAATGTTAAGCCTGCAGAGCAAGATAGAACATTGTCAGGTAAATTTATATTTTCAATTCTGAAATAAATTCTTATTTGTAAAAATAATAAATGATTTTTTTCCCCTCAAAAAATGATAAAATGAGTCAAATTCACGATCTTTTAGATTGATTTATACAAACCTTTGGTCTGTGTACAGTACCTTTGTCGCCCCTCAGCAGGTAGCTCTCTGGTTGGACCCCCGGCTGTTCAGGTCTTTCTTTATTGTGTTTGCATGTTCACCATGTGCATGCATGGCTTCTGTGTGAAAAACCCCAGCTTTCTTACACAGCCCAACCCCAAAACATGCATGTAAGGTTAACTGGTGGTTAAAGAGACTAGGAGTGAGAGTTTGCATGGTTGTGTATTTGTATGCACCCCACCCCAGACTTTAAGGGAAAAGGAGGGCAAAGGGGATTTAAAAATTGGCTGAACGGAAAACAGAAAGAACATTTGATACACATTGTCACTCTTAAAAATTTCTAAAAAACACCAAAAAATGCACATTTTTGCAGGAGTGCACACTTCTTTCTAATAAAACCCAGATTTGAGTATTGTGAATGGGTAAAGGGGAAAAGAAGCTCTCTGATAATGATCCACCTGGTGCTGTTTAGTGTACTGTTTCATACCAGCGAGATAAATTACCTAATATATTAAAACCACATCCAAATGCTGAGCTCACAGATTTACTTTGTGGCCATGCATTTCTTCCACAAAGACAGAGAGGGATGAATGTAGGAGAGAGGAAGTGTAAGAAAAGGACAAAGGCCTCTTGTGCCTGCAGACATGTTAAACAGCCAAACATTCACCTTAACAGGCTTATCTAATGGGTTTACACTTCTGATAACTGATCCGTTTTTTTCTCTAGATTCACCCCAGACTTCGTATATTTCAGCTCTTCTCACTTAAGGGTTTTAATGAAGTTCCTGTTCCTGCTTGTGTTTTTAATGTGTGCTTCACTTTCAGGAGAATGGTAGCAATTTAACCTCAGTTCATTCCGCATATTGCTACCCTCTTTAGAGGGAAACATCATCCTCTCCAAGGCAGGTTTGTAATCAACTCTTGGGGAGTAAATGAAAAGCATCCAGCAATAATTGCTGGGACTGGATTATTTTCATTTAAAGACCAAAAGAAGGTGAATCAGGCTCTCTTCAAGCCTAGGAAGGCATAGTTACCTCACGGCATCCTTCCCATTTATCTCCAAATCTACCCACAGAATCCTCCCTGTAGAGCTGCTGCTCTCTAAAGGGTGGAGATAAAACATGTTTCCTGTAGGGTCTCAGATAGAATAGAGGTATGTACAGTTTTGTTCTAATGATCCAAGTAAAGTTGCAGAGTCTGAAGTTGAATCATCAGCTAACCATTAAGAAACTGATTTATAATATTTAAAAAACAATATTGGGAGTTTTTTTTTTAGATATAGGCTATATATATAAGTACAGTCCTGGTCACTCGTTCTGTGTTGCAAAAAAATTATCAATTATTTGCAACACAGAGCAAGTGGCAGCAGTACATTCAACATAAGATTTAATATACATAAATATGAAATAGACAGAGAAAAAAAAATAAAATAAAATAAAACAGATGAACAAAACACAGCAATCTGCATCATTGTTAAAATTTTCTTTTAGAAATTTGGCCAATGGTGACCCTGACTCTTCAAAATGCACTCCTTTTCCTCTGACAATATAAGTAAGTCGCTCCAGAACATGGTGCCATTAAGGGATTGTTGGTTTGTGGTTAGAGCAGTGCGCTTGTGCTCTGAGAAGGTTGCAAGTACCCGGTTTGATCCCCTTGGCCTCCACTCTGGCTCCCTTAGCAAGACCCTTAACCCCACACTGCTCCCCAGGCACCGAACAGTGGCAGCCCATTGCTCCCCAAGGGGATGGGTTAAATGCAGAGGTACAGTTCTCCAATGTGAGATCAGTAAAGTTCAATTATTATTCCTTCAGCCATATATGATTTGAGGGTATACCCATCTTTCTCCATTACAGTGATATTAATCTCCTGACCTGCAGAAGTCCAAAGTCAGTCAATCTCAACTGACGGGAGCTAAGAATACTGAGAGGGTTTAATATAAGAAGGAGATAGAAATAGCCCAGTACCCCATCTTGGATGGCAGCAGATTGTCTTTATCCAGATGGAGAAGATCTGATGATTTGTTTGGAGGTTTTCACTCACATGGATTGTTGAGAAGAAGACACAGCAGGACTGAGAAGTTTGGAGATATTTATTGGAGTTCAGTTAAGATGTGTTTGTTGAAAGGTGTCGAAGTTTAGAGTAATTTGCTAGATATGTGTATTAATGGAAGCTAGAAAAAAATTAAGTTTAAAATTAAATAGTACTATATATATATATTGCATTGATTTGGAGTAAAAATTTGACATGTTATACTTCATCGTAAGGATGATTTCAGGGTATTTGATTTTGGTCATTATTCATTTTGGATTATTTGGTTTTGCTTTCTTAACTTTTACTTTCTAACTCTTTTCTGTATCCAAAGGTTTTTCATCTAATGCAGCCTCTATGAACAGAGGAGAGAAAGAAAGACATGATACTTTAGGTTAAACCTTCTGAAGGAAGCTGCCTTTTGAAGTGGGAAAATCTGTTGTTTTTAAACACCAGAAATTGGAAATCACTTGAAAACAGGGTTGGGCAAGAAAAAAAAAAGATACACCAGGATAACTTGATAACAATAGAAAATGTGTCCAACAAAATGGTGTATAGCAACGGCCATCAGGCAGATAGCTGATCTATTATTTCATTGTCCGATTGCTTTGCAATGAACTATGATCTTTTTTTTACCTTTTTATTTTTATATAGAAGAAGGATGTTAGCGGTTAGCAATGCCAATATGGAGGGCTCCTTGCACACTCAAGCTATCTGGTTAAAAAATGACCAGAATGTTTTGGTTCTTTGTTAGAGGAGCAATACAAATGGAAAAATATTTTTACTATTATCACTATCTTGCTCAATTTTAGCCCAAACTTTTATCTGATTTTAATTTATTTTTTTGTCAGATGATCATTTAGCCACAAAAGGACCCAGGAAAAAAGTGGATATAGGCTATAAATTGTATGTCTTATTTTAAATAAGATTCCTATGGAGAAGACACAAACATCTCTTATTCCAGTCCAATAACCTCTCGTAAAAGTAACAGCAAAAATAAAAACCAGTAAAGATTAATTAAAGTTAGAGGAAATGTGTGAGATGAGCCTTATTAGTCCTGTTTTACTCTTGGGGCATTCGTACGACAAGCAGCCAAATGATGTCAGTCTAACATGTGTTTTATGTGATTTTAATTCAGATGGGAAATTTCATTTTTAGAGCCAATCGTGAAGTGATATCATTTCATCCGCCCTCTTTCTCTTCCTTGATCTGTATAAGTGTGGTCCTGATTTACTATAAGTTTATCAGGATTGCAGCCATGTATGGTGAAAGTTATCTTCATTTAATATGGGATTACGGTTCAAAAGGTCTCTTTGAGAACAGCAGCGTGCACAGGGAGGCTCTTTGTTCCCCAGCTGGAAATGAGGTCCCAGTCAATGAATAAGAATGAAACGATGAGCATGATTTTTATCCCAGAATATCTCTAAAAAGTGGGCATTTTTCCTTTCCCATGCTTCCTAGGTAATATTTTAATGAAATCTAAAATTATATTTTTCTACTGGATAATCCAAAGATGGCTCAGAGACACTGCTGGTATAAAACACTCTTCCTGGTTTGAGAGACACATCTTTTTCCTGCATAGAAATCTATCAAAATGGGCTTTGCTGTGTGCTTTTAGCCTAAGGTTGATATGCAGCTCTTGATGTGTTCATACCTCTTCAAACCTTTTCACATATTGTCACATTAGAGTATGTAGTGTTTATCACAGGCATCCCCAAAGTCGGTCCTTGAGGGCCGCTGTCCTGCAGGTTTTAGAGGTTTCCTTGCTCCAGCACAGCTGATTTACATTGATAGTTGATTAACAGGCTTTTGCTGAACTGCAATCATCGGAATCAGCTGTGCTAAAGCAGGGAAACCTCTAAAACTTGCAGGACAGCGGCCCTCGAGGACCAACTTTGGGGATGCCTGGTTTATCAATTACCCCCCTTCACTCTAATACCACTAAATCAAATCCAATGCAACTGATTCTCTTTGCAATTCTCTTCCAATTAGTGAATATTGCCCTGCCACGTATTCATCCTTAATTTTAGCAAAAATCCAGCTGATCTTTAGAGACATGACATTAGAGAACAAACATCATCATAAAGAACAAAAACATAGAAAACCAGTCAGAAAAATAGGTATTTATAAACAGGATTAAAATCAATAACTCAAGGTTCATAAATTTGCTCAAACACAGTTTAAACCATTATTTAAAAAAAAAACAATATGACACTATAGCAATACAACTAAACTGATCAGAAGGAAAAGAACAGTGGAATTCAGAGAGGCAAACAAGAGTTCAATAAAAAACTGTAGGATCTGTGTAGATCCACATCTCTAGTGGATGAATCTGTTACCATGGAAGGAATGAGAAGCCATGTTTGGTTATTATTTAGGCATTTAGAGTCTCAGCAAACATGTGGAAGAAAGGACAAAAGAAATATTTAAATGCAAAACTGTGTGGCTGAAAACTAACACTCTGTTACCTTGAGCCTACTATGTTCAGGGTGAAACATGGCAGTGGCAGCATCATGCTGTGAGTCAGAGAGGCTGGTCAAAGCTGGTGGGAAGATTGATAAAACTTACAATGGAACAAAAGTGGTGGAGGTTCACCTTCCAATAGGAC